CACACACACACACACACACACACACACGAGTGTGTGGGCAGATTTGCCCTGCAGCCTGTTGCTATAACAACGGCCAGTTCCTCTCCGCATCCAGCGTTTGTAAATGCGAGCTCTCATTGACAGGGAAAAGCACACAGAAACATCGGGACGCTCAAAAAAACATACTAAATCCATCACAAATGAACTAGATTGTGAAAACTAAAGTCCTTTTTATTCAAGTCCGGCCACTGCTTGACTTTTTATATGGCTCCAAAAATGTTAATTTTGTCAGTTACATTTAATTTAGGAAATAAAATGTAACAACTGTAGAACCTCCATCTCATCAGCTCAAACGATACATTCAAATATAAACACTCACATTCAAAAGTAACAAACTGACAAGAAAGGTGACACTCCTATACTTATGACAACTGTGTGTTAAGAATTATAACCAACTAAATATAGCGTCAAAACATATAAATATAAAGTAATAATAGGGAACAAAGAAACATTACAATCAATAAACAGAATATGCTTTTAGTATGTGAAAGTTTCCAGACAAGCGCAGTGATAAATCTGTGTTTTTTTCCCTGAGCATTACTGCTGACTGATTATTATCGTTTAACAAACAATAAATACAAACATTTTACAAAGTTAAACTTAGAAAAGGGATAAATTTTTTCATATACAACCCTATACAAGATTTATTAAATGCACTTGTTGTGATAAAACATTCGTTTAAATCCATCTTACAAAAAATGACATATAAAGTTCTAAAAATTGTTATAATTCTATAAAAAAATGTCCACATTACAACTATAATGAGGACAACACATTGCATTGGAATACGTTCAATACTGAGGAACAATAAAAACACTGACAGCCAATCAGAATCCACCCGACTTTAACGAGCTTGTGTATTTAAAGAGGCAGACAACAAAACTGCAGTGCTATCGTGGACGCTAATATTATTACTATTATGGGTCTTGGTGTAAACGGGCCTTCAAAGTTTGTCTTAATAAAAGCCATTGTCGTATGACAATATATTTTATGTCGTATGACATTAAAGTTGTATTTACTAGAGGTCGACTGATAATGGATTTTACCAGCAACGATAACTAGGCTGGACCACACTAATCGATAACTGATTAATCAACCAATTTTTTTTTTTTAAATGGATAAACTGGAAAAAAAAAAAAAAAA